GGTAATACGTGAGGAAAATTAGTCACAAGTGGTTGGCGTGGCATAGGGCACTAACCGAAGAGTACTACAGAACGGTCGATTCCTCACTGCAAGCAAAATCAGGCCGGATGAAAAACTAGCCCTCCCTCTCCCCTAAATCTAAACTTGTTGCGTTTTTCGGCTACCGGGATGCTGCTATTCGGCTCGGGACAGCCGCGTGCTGTCACAGATGACAGCTGCATGCCGAAGTGGGTCAGAATGGAGTAACCACGTCCTGTGGCAAGGTCCTTGGTGTGACTGCCAGTCCCTAAAAGTAGTCATCTTACCCTGGACACTATAAATATACGACCGCATAAAATGCAATCACCATCCTGCCCTTACCTATCAATCACGAGATCCTGCGAAAGGGTTTTGACAACTGAACAGTCACTCAATAGGCCACAGAATGTAGTGAAAGCGTAACAAAAAAAACATAAATAAGCAAAAGATTCAACAAAGGATTTGGACAACCATTTAAAATATGATCCCGGCACCAGCACAAAAATAGCGTATAGAACGGCTTGGTACCAGCATAAACATTGAAAGGCACTTTAATGATCTGAAAGCTCTGCTGGAAGGAGCACTTAATTGACTACCGCATGCCCCTTGTACAACTCTCTTGGCTTGGCAACCAACATGACGAGTACAGTGCTCACAAAAAGTATTGATTAAAAAGTATCATTAATATAAAAAGAGGGTGGCTTGCCTCGATCGGGTGGCTCGTTTTAAGTTCGTCCTCTTTGAGTGCGTCGCTATACTGCTCAGACACAAAATGCGTCTGTAATGCAGAAAAAGCAAAACAAAAAGTATGGACGATGTGAGAGCACGTTTTAAACAAGGTTGTACTCTTGATTCAATGGAAATGATAAAAAGGCAAACGCACTACTGTCGGGTTTCAATTGAAGATGCAAAAAGGCAGATTCGTTACTTCTCAAGAAGACACGGTCAACAAGCATCACTCAGAATTACAACAATGTAACAACGAATCCTCAAGAGTACAACTTAACAGCAGTTAAGGGATAAAATTCCAATCTTAAGGACGCAAACGCGACCCAACAGATATTCAAAGCGGGCCCTGGTACTGGTGGAGACGCTGAGGTTAAAATACCACTAGGGAGTCATAGATGGGTATGATGATTCACTGCAGGCCATCCTTAAAAACTATAAAATGTCCTGATCCCAAATTCGTATTCAAAATCTTACTACGGGACAGTGGGAATAGGAGATGTCTCTGCGTGGCTATTACACAAATAAAATAACTCGAAGCTCCGGAGAAGACATCGCTCTTTTTGTCGTGTGGTAGACCAGTATATTGTCAGTTATGGTTCGGTTAACCGCACAGACTTCCATTTGACAATAAGTACGAGAGATTTTTCGCTGTACAACTTTGTTTTTTCGTTTTCAGAGTGAAACCAGTAAACAAATTCATGTGAATTGCATTTTTTTCAAGGACGCGAAAATTCCCGGCGTTCGGGCTAGTATAAACCACCAAAGTTTACCACGTTCTTTGGTTCTAAGCAGAAACTGTAAGGACCATTATAAAACAGGTTTTCAACTCAGTTCCCGAAGAGTTTACGTCGAAAAGCGCACAGTTGTCATACAGCACCCGCAGCTAGTGTTATTTACTACAATTTTTCGTTCACCCTGTTAGAAAAAACTTACAGAGTAGATGAAAATGGGCTGAAGGGGTCAATAATCGAAAGTGTTGTCATAGTAATCTAACTTCAGACGTTGAGCCACTCAGCATTTAGAGGAATGCAGTGACTAATTATTAGTAGGTAGAAATATCCGAATGAGGTGTGCTAGAAAATCACAATTAAATCCGTCCTCGCGCTATGACAACGAAGAGGTTGGCTTAAACATAATCAAGGGCTACGAGTTCTAGTTGGAGGACAGCCCGCGTTGAGTCAAATTGTGTCATTCGCTGAGAACAAATATATCATTAAATTGCGAAATCCGAGACTCGAAAATTATCTAAATTCGAAAGAGTTAAAATTATTGTTTCTTGAAACAGTTTCGAAGAAGACTAGTTCTTAGTAAACGGCAACTTAACGATCTTGAGGGATAGCAGCAAAGCAAGCAGGCTTGTGCTTAGCCACAAAGCGCTAGAGGGGACAACTTCGAACAAACAACCTGAACGACTGTTTGGGACTCATATGTAAGCGAAATTGACATGAAACCTCGACCTTTGGGAACATAGAAAAAAACAAGAGGAGAAACACGTTGCTGGGAGGACGCCAACATTGACACTAATTTGTAGGATATCATGTGCGAGTCTGCCCAACAACGAAAAGTAAAAATAAGGATTTCGAAGAGACCGAAACCTCTAATGGAAGAGCTGGAGGATTAACTTACCCAAATGTCGTAATCCGGGAAACAATAGTCAGTGGCGAGACACTCAGTCCACGTAGCAAATCCCTCATTCAGCCATAGATGCGTCCACCATTCCATTGTTACCAAATTACCAAACCACATATGAGCCAATTCGTGGGTCACAGTTAGAGCAACAAGCTGCTTTGATGTCAGAGACGTGTTCTCATGATCGATAAGCAACTGCGTTTCTCTGAAAACAAATAAAGTTCGGGGGAATTCGACTAAAACGTGTTTAGTCCTAAAGCATTATTTGCTATGATTCATTGTACTAGCATTCTGACTTTTTGTTCGTTATTTTGACAGCCTTCGATTGTGTAGTTACTGCTGGTCCGAACCGCGAAGGAGTTAAGTATGATGTGGCTGCGCAGCAGGCTAGATTACACGTCAAAATTATACAAGGCGTTTACATACTCGTAGATGAAGGGCAGAAAAGGTTTCCAAACTAAAAGATCATGTAAGTCAAAGAATAGTTATCTCAGGTATCTTTTTTCGCAATAGACACATATTTACACGGGAGAAGATGCACATCGTTTGCACTTGCATAACAAAGAATCCCTGAAATCGATGTATTTGGACAAGGTATGCATTAATGGGCAAATCCACGTAGATGCTACTTAACTAGATAACTAGGAACACAGCCTAGGATGAAATCCAGCTTCCAAAGTTAGAAGCAAAACTGAGGAAATGGTAAGCCAAACATGTCCTTGCACACGAATGTAAGGCAATATGGACGTATGGCTATAACTACTGCACCCAGACCACACAGGTAACATACAACTGATCTTACGACACTAGTGTGAAAAAGCTGACTTACCTGTATGTTATAAGACCCCAGTTTTCCATTGCACCGCACGCGAAGTCAGGAAGTGCGATAAGATCACATTTCGGCAGAGGAAATTTTTGACCAAAAAGGTTAGCATAGAAAGGTAACACTTTTGCGCTAACTTCTAGGGCGTATTGTCCGCATGCTTTCTTCCCGGGAGGTGTGAAGACACGAATATCAACTCCATTAGCGTCCTTCGTGGAAACATGGTCGAAGTTTCCGACGACCATTGCCACTAGGTACGTTGACATGTAGGGCGATCTGTCAAATTGTACTTTGACGTAATTGTGACCTTCTGCAGGCGCAGGACGACCGGTGGGTGGGGGGATTATTTTTCTCGATACTTCGGGCTGTATTAATGTAGATGAAAAAGGTTGAACAAGTTAATATGGATACCTGAAAAACGTCCATGCCAACAATTTATGCTCCAAAAGAATGAAAACGTAATAAATACGTACATTAACAACTAAAGAAAACTACAAATTCA